GATTATCAAGATGCTTGATATATTGATTAAAAATAGATGCTTGTATCTAAGCAGAACTGTTCCAGTAATAATACACAGGTAAGGTTGACTTATCAACATTATGAAGAGCTCTAGGATTTTTATATTTGTGTATAAATAAAGGAGGAAGTTTATGCTCTCCAGTTGCATTGCATGTTAATAAAATTGTCACACAGTCTTTGGCTTTTTTTTTTCCCAAAACTGAACTACTAGCCAATGTTTTGTCTGATTCCATATGCCAGTATAATGCCATCTCATCTGCGTTGTAAACATCCTAAGGCTTAAACTCTTTGATTATTTCACATAATTCATTACGAAATCTAGGAAGGTTTTCAAATGGTGCACTTGCGGCTTTACCTTGACGCCTGTATTCCTTTATATGATAACGCTTCTTAAAATTCGAGAGCCATCCTTCAGAAGCATTAAAACCCATTATACCAAGACCTTTTGCAAGTTGAACTGCCTTGTGTTTAATTATTACCCCTGTAACTGTTTGTAATGCCTCAGTTACCCTTGATACCCAAAGAGCAAGTGCTTCTTCTAGTAGGGGAAACTTTGCAGTTCTTTGTCATTTTAATTTAACATTATTAGAACCTGGTTCAAGTGATAACTACCTATCTTTTTCTCAAATAATATTTGAAATTGTTGCTTCAGCAACAGAAAATTGTTTAGCTAACTTGACTTGACTAACACCCTTCTGTTTTAGGTGGCATATTTCTGCTTTTTGAGCACCCGTTAAGCTTTTTCTTTTTGTAGGTGATTCATTTTCTTTATTACATTTTCGCTTCTTTGGTACCTTGGAAGATTTTATACCATCACTCATTACTACGTGTTTTGTTTGATAATAAACATGTTACTACTTCATATAACAAAGCCTATTAACTAGTTTTTGATTAAAGACTTATTCAGATTTGGTTGTATAATCAGAAAGAAACCAAAGTTTTATAGTAAAGATATATAAATATTGTATTTGTTATATAATTTTTTAAACCTTGCACAGGTTACAATAGTGCACTTTTTTTTATTTTTCTTTTATTACATTGTTTAGCCTAGTCTAAAGGCCTTACTTGTTTTTTTCTTATCTTGTTTTTATATAGTTATATTAGAGTCTTACATTTAGATTTTTGATTTTTTTCTCCTTATAGTTACTCTTTCTTTTAATCATTTTTTTTATCTTCTTTTTCTTGCAATATTGTTTTATTTTCTTTTGTTTTTTTTTGGTTTTATTGAATAGAAAAACAGGCTTACTAAAGTCTTTTTGCCAAAATCTAGATAAAAAAAAAATTAAATTTTGGCTTTTAGACAGGGTTAATAACATTTTCTGTTCTATATATTAGTTTAATACAACAGGTTACATCTAGGTACTCAAAAAGCAACTATATAATGTCATCTAAATATTATAGTTTAGATATATTGCATATATTCTGAATATGTAAAAATTATCTTTTTAATAAAGGTAGCAGCAAGACTATCAAAGAGTTAAAAAAAATATATATATATTAGTAATATATTAATATTTTAAATTTTTATTAAGCAACTCTGTGTAACTTTTAATTGTAGTACAAATCTGATTTCACTAATAGAATTGTTGATATTAATTTTTTTAGCATAGTTTTTATTATTTGTCAATTAGGTTAATAGTTAATGTGTTATTAAGATTTAAAAATATATAACTATAGAAGATAACAAATAACAATCTGTTATCTCTGTAATACAAATCTGTTAGTACAGACCTATTAGTATAGACCTATTAAAACAGACCCATTAGTACAGACCTGTTAATACAGACCTGTTGATAAAAATTTATTAATATAAACCTATTAATACAAAATATAATTTGTTCTTATATAGAGTTTTAAAAAATATAAAAACTTTTTTTTTGCCCAAGACAAGATAGGTTCTGTTTATTGTTGTTAGTCGAAATATCTTATTTTGTTAAATATTTAGACAATTTTGTATCAAAATATATTTCAATATGCTATTATTTTTTGTCGAAATGTCAAAATTCTAAATTTGATAAAATAACTAAATAGTTGACTAAATAAATACTATATGACTAAATACCTAAATTAGTGGTAAAATAAAATTTTTAGATTTATCATCTCTAATATTCCTATATTACAATATAAATTAGATAACTATGCAGTGTAGTCATGCTAAAAACCAGAAATATAGAGTATATACTGTAAATAATATATAGATATTTTTGAATGCAGAATACCTATATATTTAATTATTATTATTATATATTCAATATTTAAATAATTAAACCTGCTTGATAGAGGCAAGAACTATTTTAGATCAAATCTATATTTAAGATATATAGCATAAAATCTACAAAATAAACAAGTTTGAATACTTGCTAATAATAAGTTATATATTTTTTAATTTAGACATTTCAACATTATTTAGACATTTTGGCATAATTTAGAATTTTAGCATTAATTTAGAATTTTGGCAGACTAAACATAAAATATCGAAATATTTCTACAAATTCAAAACAATTTTGGCTAACAACATTAGTTTTGTTAAGGTTATGCCAGGTTCTAACTTGTATTTTCCTAACTTTTTTTCTATTAAATAAATAATATACTCTTAACTATATATTCACTACTATGTATATACTCTTTTTATAGTATTTTTATAGTATTTTTATAGTGTTTTCTTCGAGTTTTTATTGAATTTTTATCTTGTTTTTATTGTATTTTTTCTAAATATTCTTCCTTATTCCTTATATTTTATTTTCTATACTTTGAGTTTATTCTAAGTTTATTTTTTTT